GGTTTTAAAGTGGAATAAGTTTTCGATTTGTAATAATCTAACGATAAGTTTGTAATTTTCAACTGTTAATGTTTAGCTCTAACTTATAGTGTTTGTTTTGATTTTACATTTTTTTAAAAAAATGCGCCTACCTATGAGGCACGACTGTCAGGGTTGGGGGTTCAAACACTTGTTGAGGGAGATTTTTTAGTTCTAAGTAGTTTTGTGTTTTTTTACTATCATCGTTGTTTATTTATAATTATGTTTATTTAAATCTTTCAAAGTTTCATAGAATAAGTGCATCAATGCATAGATAAATCGACTGATTTAGATGTCGCAGTGGAGTATACTGACTTTAATAGCCATAGGTAGAGTGTCGCTATAAATGGCGAGCTGATAACATTCTGACATATTAATAGTGGCTAGTCATTGGCTAGCCACTTTTGGTGACTGCCTTTAATTGTCCAATAAGTAATCGATGAGCAAAACTACACCGGTTCGCTCAAATTGCCTATATAGGTCCACTGAAATTCCACTAAAGAATGTTTGCTGAGCAGCATAATTTTTTTTTGTTGAAAATATTTCAATTTTTGCGAAATGTGCTTATAATAGCCCAACTCACCTTATTATAACTCTTTGGATAATAGTAGAGGAAAACTTTTTTATTTCTAAAGCTTTTTTAAACAAGATTTCCTTTTTTTACAAAAGATTTGCGTCTTTGAATTTTTTTTTTTTTTTTTTTTTTTTTATTCTTTATTACAATCATTACTACAATTTCTATTATAACTTGTGAATAAAACGTAAGACATAAAAAAAAGAAATAAATAATATTTACAATAAAGATTTCGTTAACAATAGAAATTAGACAATAAATATAACAATAAAAATTAGGAATAAAGAATGCGGAAACTCGAAGAAGTCCTTGAGGTCTTGTCGTAGAGAACCGTTGGAATCAAAACGCTTTAAATGAATTCATTTTTATTGATTTTTTGTAAATGTTTATTAGCTTTTAAATTGGATCTATTCCGATAAATAGTTATATAAACCGTTGCATAGAATAGTTAAAAATAATATACTTCAGTATAATTATCGATGTGTTTGATGACGTCATAGTGTGTTGGTGATAATATAAATCGAATAGATTAAAAAAAAAAAATAATTGAATTGAACATTTCTTGCATTAAAATTGTAGAAAATAAAATCAGAGTGGGGTTCTTGAATTCTTGTTGATAATTAGCTCTTGTTCTAATATAGTTTTTTTTTATTAAGTATATATTGTGTTTGCATCTTTATCATACAAGCGATCATAGGTGGTATCACCGAATCCCAATCCAGCCCAACGATTGCCAAGCAGTTATAGTTGGGTGTTCCTACGCCAGAGGTTATGCAGCACTATTCTTTATTTATTTATTTTTTTTTTTTTTAATATACATAGACTGCAAGCACACACACACACATACTAACAGCACATATACACCCATACACCCATATATGTACCAATATACATACATAAATACATACATACACAGATACACATACGCATTTATACATAATTTATTGATTTTATTTTATTTTTTATTTCTTATTTTCTTTTTTTTTTTTTTTTCTTTTTTTTTTTTTTTTTTTTTTTTTCTTTTTAATTTTTACAAAACCGTGTTATAAAAACCGTAATAAAATTTTTTTGTTTTTTGTTTTTTCAAATACTAAATAAAAGATAAAATAAACCTGAAAATTTATACATACTAGCAATATATAATATAAAGCAATATATAATACGAACTCAAATAATAAATATTTATACATCTATTCACAGCTATCAGTTTCAGTACAATCTCAATGTAACTATATAAATAGGTAAACTTAGTTTTAATAATAGGTAGACAAACCCATAACACTAGTAATATAGAAAAACGTTCTCCATAGAAAGAATTAGATTTTTAAGCTTAGTTTTGAAGATAGAAAAAGAGGAAGGTAGATCAAAATTTTGCAAAATAACTTTATTCCAAAGATTAGGTGCACGATAATCAATACAAAGCTGATTAAACTTGGTTCGACATAAAACTTGATTTAGCAAATTATTATTTCTCAGTGCATACTTATTGTCTGGTTTCAAAGTAAAAATATTTTTAAAAACGTCAGGAGATAAGTTATTTTTCCACATATATACAAAACATAGAATATTATATAAATTCACTTCGTAAATATTAAGTATTCTCATTTCGTTAAATAAAGGTTTCGAATGAGTAAAGCGATCGGAAAAATTAATAATACGAATTGCGTGTTTCTGACGTGAAAAAAGACGTTTCAACTTATTCTTTCCAGCACTTCCCCAAGCAATATTTGGATAATTTATATAATTATGGATGAACGAATGATAGAGTTGGGTCAAACTATTTTTATTTAGATAATCTCTAGATTTATATAAAATTCCAATATTTTTAGAAATCTTGGTACATACGTGATCAATATGCTGTTTCCATGTAATGTGCTCATCAAGATAGACTCCTAAAAACTTTATGACAGAGTCCCTCTTAATCTCAATTTGGTTAATAAATATTTTAGGCAGATTTAAGGGTAGGTAACGTTTTTTTTTGAAGCGGGTGGAAAATAATCCATTTTGTTTTATTAGGATTAAGAGTTAATTTGTTACACTTGAACCAGCTAGATATTTTTTTAAGTTCGTCATTTATATTACAAAACAGTTTGGAGATGTCAGTATCAGAAAGAAATAGGTTAGTATCATCAGCAAACATAATGCTAAGTAGATTTGAAGCTTTATTTAAGTCATTAATGTAAATCAAGAATAAGAGGGGTCCCAATATAGAGCCTTGAGGAACACCGCAAGATATATCTAATAAATTTTTTTGGCAATCATCCTTACAAGAAACAAATTGTTTACGATTTGATAGGTAGCTTTCAAACCATCTTAAAGTTTTTTTGTTTATACCATAATATTTAAGCTTATGCAGTAATATAGTGTGATCTACTGTATCAAAAGCCTTAGATAGGTCAATAAAGATACCTAGTGTGTATTGGGAATTTTCAAAGGATTTTGAAATTTCGCGTACAAATTAAATGATTGCATGTTCCGTGGAGTTGTGCTTTTTAAAGCCAAATTGATTGCTATATAGTAGGTTATTGCATTGAAAATAATCATAGACTCTATTATACATAATTCTTTCTAATATTTTTGAAAATATAGGTAAGATAGAAATGGGTCGGTAGTTGCTAATAATAGCCCTATCACCTTCTTTAAAAATTGGGGTAATTTTCGCAATTTTTAGTTGTTCAGGAAAAATTCCTTGATTAATTGATGCGCTAAAAACTTTAAAGAGAATATCTTTTAATTGTTCAAAACAGTTTAGAATTATATTACCATTAATGTCATCTGCTCCAGTAGCTTTATTTTTTTTCAGAGTTTTAAATGCTATTTCAAATTCTTCAAATGATAATTTAGAAGACAACTCTCCAGATGTAATGCAATCAGTCATCGGTACTAGAAAATCACTAAATATAGCCTGCGTCTTTGGAATCTTATTGGCCAGTTCAGGACCAATTTTAACAAAATAATTATTAAACTCGCAAGCTATTTCTTTTTGTTCATAGATGATTCTGTTATCAACCTTGATGACCTGGGGAAAGAAGCCTGAGCAGTCTTTTTGTTTTCCGCTTATTTCTTTTATTATTTCCCATGTACGTTTGGAGTTATTTTTTTTTTAATTCATTTTTCTCAGCTCCTGCGATATAAATAGTTCTTGAATGTTAGCTTATTTTGTTTTCCTGCTAGTTCTATTTTTTTAAGGAACTTTATTCGGTGTTAAGTCTTTTAACTACTTATTCAAATTCTCGGTAGAAAAAGTTTCAGCAACTTCCTTCAATCTAAGTAATATAAAGGTTTTGTTTATTAGTTTTTTTCTGCACCGCAGAGTGTTTTTTTTTTTTTTTTTTTTATTTGCATTCACTCTTAACAAGGCTGCAAGCAACCACTATTAAGTTGGGAGTTACTAGAAAAAAAAAAGAACAGAGTTATAGAGCAAGGAAACGGTTGACAGAAGACTTGAAAAGTTGAAGGTTGTATGAGTCAGGAAAACATGAAGATGGGAGAGAGTTCCAAAGGATTGAAGTGCGGGCAAAAAAACTAGATGAATAAAAGTTTTTAGAGCATGCAGGGACAGATACAGTAAACAAATGAGACTTAGCTGAATGACGAGTAAAACGAGAATGAATTTTAGTTGATGGAACTAGAGATGATAACTCCTTTGAGCAGTGACCATGATAGTATTTGTAGAAAAGAGAAAGAGATGCAACTTTACGACGATGGGAAAGAGGTTCAACCTTAGCAGATAGTCCAGGCCCAACAACATTTACAACTACGTAAATTAAATAAAAAACATTCAGCAACTACCTAAAACTGTTTGGGAGATTAAATTTCTTTCTGTGCCATTTATATTAATAAGTGCTCCAAAATAAAAATTATCTGTGCAATCTTTACATAAATAAAAAAAAATTAAAGGAGTTAACAAGTCTCCAAAATCCGAGGTTTCTCTGTAAGCGGATCTATTCGAAGCTGTCCAGTGGTCTCAAAAAGGTGATGGATGGTTTGTCTAGAAATCAAGCTAGTATCTTCTCAATAATTGACACGCTTGGATCTCGTTAAGCACTTGAAGTCACTAAAACTGGCATAAAAAAAAATTTATTTCAGTGATGAGAACCTATTTAAAAGTACGGTAGTTTTATTTAATTGGAATATTTTTAAAAAATGTGTCTACAAAACTGCATATTTTTCCATTTTTCTTAAGTTTTGCAGTTCGGAAATACGCGTTAAATTATTTTTTAAACAATTTTAAACCAAGATTATTTGACAAAAAAATTTATATACAGTTATATATATATATATATATATATATATATATATATATATATATATATATATATATATATATATATATATATATATATATATATATATATGCTTATGATTTTTTACATGAAAAATATTACATAATTTATATAATTTTTATAACTTATGACAAACTATATTTCATAATTTTATTACACTTCAACGAATCACTTTGCATTTTAAATTAAATTGTTTTAAAAATAAAATGTTTTAACTATTTCAATTTGTTAAATATGACTTCCAGTTGATGTTCCAGCTCGTGCTGCTTTTCTTTTATTTGCTCTGATGTAGCATTTTCTCGATTTTGTTTCATCCATTCAAATTTCTCGTCACAATGTTTGTTTATACTTGTCTTATCAAATTTGGTCAAACGCCCCATATTTTTGTCTGGATCTGTAGTAATTTGTTTACATTCAGTTATGTAATCCCTCAATGAAGCTAAAAATTCTAAATTAAAAGTACAAAGATTTACACGGAAATTTTATTGCTATTTTTCTCTCTCATATATATATAACGGGTGATGCGTAATTAGTGACACAAAAGTTAACTTAGTTTTGCTCGTAATATAATCTTTTTCATTAAACCATATAAATTTATTTTGGTAAATTGAATATTCTAGTTTTATTAAAAAAAAAAATTATCCAAAAAAAATGTTAAACGGCCAAGAAAGAGCAGCTCTTCAAAAAAGCGTCAAAAAATTTTTTGTAAAAAACCCAAAAGCGACCAAAGCCGAAGCCGCTAACCATTTTATTAAAGAAGGAAACGCTCGCAAAACAGCATATAGATATATAATTCGACAGCTTGATGGACAATGTTTAAAAATAAAAAAAAATTCTGGTCGCCCGTCATCGTGGACTCAACAATCAAAAAGGTGTAAGTCAAAGAAAGCTCGCACGTAAATTCAACGTAAATCAAGCAACAATTAGTAGACAATTAGCCAAAATGAACATAAAATATCGGAAACGCAAAAAAACACCGAAATACAATGATGAACAACGTCTAAGGGCACAAAAAAGAAGTCGAAAACTCGTCAATCACCTCTACAAAGAACAAAGCGTTTTAATTTTGGACGACGAAAAATACTTTTGTTTTGCTGGCGATAAAATGCCTGGAAACGCCGGTTATTACACGAACGACAAAGAAAAATGTCCAGTAAATGTTCGTTTTGTGGGAAAAGAGAAATTTCCGAAAAAAATTCTCGTTTGGATCGCATTATCTGAGCGTGGAATGTCGAAACCATTCTTCCGGTCGTCAACTTCGGCTGCAAATTTATATCAAAGAATGCTTAGAGGAACGATTGTTGCCATTTATAGATAAGTATCACGATGATTTAAATTACATATTTTGGCCGGATTTAGCTAGTGCCCATAGAGCTAAAGAGGCAATATCGTGGATGAATGAAATGATTAACTTCGTGCCGGTCGATATGAACCCTCCTAATGTCCCCAAAGCCAGGCCAATCGAAGACTTTTGGGGAGTATTGGCTCAGAATGTGTATGAGGGTGGATGGGAGGCCAAAAGTGAACAACAACTGATTCGGCGTATCGAAGCCTGTCTGAAAAAAATTGATTTGACATTTTTACAATCCCTTATGAAGGGTATCAAAACTAAATTGAGATTAATAGCCGATCAAGGCGTTCAATCGATTTACAAAAAATAATTTTTAAATAATAAATATTGTGTTATTATTTTTTAAAAATGAAAAATTTTTTTTCTTTTATTTCTTTAAAAATATAAGGCTTTGATTTTTGTGTCACTAATTATGCATCACCCGTTATATATATATATATATATATATATATATATATATATATATATATATATATATATATATATATATATATATATATATATATATATATATATATATATATACACATATATATGAGAGAGAAAAATAGCAATAAAATTTCCGTGTAAATCTTTGTACTTTTAATTATTAATAATTAATTAATTATTAATAATTATTAATATAATGTAATATAATTAATAATATAATTATTATAATATAATGTAATATAATTATATTATAATGTAATATAATATAATGTAATATAATTATAATATAATGTAATATAATTATTAATATAATAAAACTAGTTATTAATATATTAATTATTAATAATTAATAATACATATTATTAACATTATTAATAATATACAGTACTGGACAAAAGTCTGAGACCAAGGGTTGAAAAAGACTAAAAACAGATTTTAACCATAAAATTTTATTCAATGAACAACCATGTCAATATTTTCCAATATAATTCATATTAGTAATTCAACATTATTCAGAACACAACAATTTATTGTCAGCATCACTGATGATGTGAGGAAAACTGATGAGTAATACAATTGTCATATATGTAGTATGTTGCACGCATAACTTCTTTGAACTTTATATGAACCATGCACTATATTATTCGGTTTTGCGTTGATATTTGCGTTAGTTTATTACTGCGTGATGGCAAATTATAGATTATGTAATAGTTTATAGCAGATAATAAACATGAAAGTGTCCTAGGATTGACGCATATTAGCGCTGTTGTGGTATTATGTTGTTATATACATGCATTACATACATACATACTGTATTGCATATTTATATAGTTATTGTTTAATGAATCTGGCATTTGCTGTTTGTGCTTCAAATTCTCATTTTTGATTTTAGCATTAATTTTCTTTCACTGAAATGTGTGAGTTACAAATATCAGTTTGAGCACAGATCAGTATTTTAAAAGATTAGGGATACACCGAGAGAAGCATTGCTGAACGTTTGTCTGCTTCTAAAAGTTTTCTGCAGTTCATAACACAATAACTCGATTGCAGCAGACTGGCAGCTTAACTTCCTGAAAAAGATCTGGTAGACCAAAATGTACCTCTATGCAGACTGACCGCTTGATTCATCGCACTTGGACTAATTCTCCAATGTCATCATCCACAGTAATACAACACAACTTGCCATCCTTTGTTACTGTTTCCTCCAGAACTATCAGACGAAGACTATCCTCTGATTTCAACCTGCATGCCCGGCGTCCTTCCATTAAACCTAGGCTTTCTGCCAAGAACATCAAGGATCGGATTGCCTTTTGTCAAAAGCACAAAGACTGGACAGCGTTGGATTGGGCGCAAGTAATGTTTTCAGATAAAAATCAAATAAAGCAGTTTGCTCCTCTTCATTCTTTTGTTTATAGACCTGTTAATCAGCGACTGAATCCCAAGTACACCAAATGCAATGTTAAACAGTGCCAATCAATCATGGTCTGGGCTTCAATTTCAACCAGAGGACAAGCAGGTATTTGGTTCATGCCTCCTAAAACAACCATTAATACCAATGAATATCTGAAAATTTTGAAAAGCAATTTGCTTCAGTGGCTGCCTCTTTCTGGTTGTACAATCTTCCAGCATGATGGTGCACCATGTCACCGGGCAAAGGTGATTACTAAATGGCTTGCTGAGAAAAATATTCAGGTACTTTCTCCTTGGCCGGGATCCTCGCATGACTTAAATCCAATAGAGAATTGCTGGTATCTGTTAAAGAAAAAGGTAGCCGCTTTCAAGCCATCATCATATGGTGATTTGAAAAAAAAGATAATGTTGATTTGGTCCAATGAAATCACTCCTGCTTATTGTGAAAATTTGATCAATTCTATGCCCAGGAGAATTACTACTGTGCTAGCGGCTAAAGGAATGCCCATAAAATACTGACATGAAATGGACATTTTGTGTTTTATTTCACAAAGTATGTTGTACTTATTCCTAGTAATATGAATTATATTGGAAAAAATTGACATGGTTGTTCATTGAATAAAATTTTATGGTTAAAATCAGTTTTTAGTCTTTTTCAACCCTTGGTCTCAGACTTTTGTTCAGTACTGTATATATATATATATATATATATATATATATATATATATATATATATATATATATATATATATATATATATATATATATATATATATATATATATATAATAGGGTTGGCCAAAATCTAAAAAATTCGAAAATTACACGTGGCTGCATAAAAAGTTGTTCCTTACCATATAAAAATTATTATTCAAAAAAAAAAGAAGTTTTCTAGAATGTTTTTAAGTACTGCCGCATTTTATTAAAAGAATCGCGTTTTTACGCAAAAAATATCACTCAAAAAGTTAGGTGATGTGGGATTGGGAAACATATAGCATCTATTCCAAATGTTTAAAATGCTTTAATCACAAAAAATATAAAAAACGAATCAATTATTCTATAAAACAAAGTGCTATCTGGTGCAGTGATGCATGGTATAACGGAAATTGTTATTTGAACTGATCAAAGTCAGAGAATAATTGCTTCTTATAGAAATTACCAACAAGTTTTCTATGATTTTCAACGACTTCTATTATTTCGCTTCGTACTACCTCATCCTAAAATTAGCCAAACATTCTGTACAAAACATACTTTTTTAAATACCTTTGTATCACCTTTGTGAGTACCTGAAGATAATCCGAACATAACTTAATTCCTCTCTGCAATATCTTTTGTAACCTTGACTGTTTTAACAAAATGTTTTATTTTAAAAAAGCTTCCATCTTCTTCCCATTCTGAAGGAGGAAATTTAACCTATTTACCGTTATTGTTTAAGAAATTTTAATATTGCGTTAAAGCTAGTAGCAGAATTAACTCTTTTGAAAATTTGTTTGATACTGTGGCCAACTCTAATATATATATATATATCAGAGACGGATCAAGGATTTTTTTTGTAACAGATAGCTAACATCCAGACATGGAGTAAACATATTGTATGTCAAATAATGAGGCTTTGCAAAAAATTGAGGTGATTGGAGGCTGGGAATGAAAAATCTCTTTGACTTTTTTTTTTGTTCCTAGCCTCCAATCATTGCAATTTTCGCAAAGCCGCATTATTTGTCATAAGTATATGTTATATAATATTATTCTATCTATTTGAAATTTCATACAAGAATCTTTTACCGCTCAAAACTTATGAGCTAACTTTATACATTCATAATTTTAAGGCGCTAAGAAATTATTTTATGAAATATAAAGTTATGTGAATTATTTAAAATTAGATGAATATAGATTTAGTTGAGAATAATTACAAAAATTTTTGTTTAACACTTTTCTCTAAATCACCGCATCCGCCAATGAAATTGTATAAAAGATGATTTTTTAAAAAGAAAAAATTTCAAGAATTAAAAAGAAAGTTGTGAAAACATGGCTATGAAAAACAAACATGGCTACAAAAAACAAACATGGCTATGATAAATAAACATGGCTATGAAAAACAAACATGGCTACGAAAAACTAACATTGCTATGAAAAACGAACATGGCAAAACAAAAGGTAGAAAAACTAGAAAAGCAGTTTTGCTAGAAAGTGTCTAAATTTAAAAGCCAATCATAAAATATTGCAGAATATAATAAAAACCAAAGTGAAAAAAAAAAAGAAAAAAAAAAAAAAAAAAGAAATTGCCATTAAAACGTCCATTGTAAGAGAAAATATAATTTGCCAAGAAGTTAAAAGATAACACAAAACTATTAGATATTTTAGAAATTAGGGATGATTTTTAGAAAAAGTACATTGAATATATTTAAAAATAATTTTCAGTATTTTTTGTCATATTTTATCTTGTAGTAAAAGAGATTTTTGATTTAAAGCTGATGCATTCCTAATAACAATAACAATAACAATAAATAATAATACACCAACTTAAAAATCAAAATAGAACTTTTCAACGTAATAAAAAATTTTATACTCTTATTGCCATAATTGCTATAAATAATTATTATAAATGCAAAATATGCTGGTAACAAGCTAAACAAGCACACATTGCATAAGTGATTGTGTAGTTATCAACCAATAGGTAAATATCTTTTAAGGTAGAAAGGATAAAAATAAAAAAAAAGTAAAAAATTCTTTCTTAACAGTCTCCTAATGTGAATGTTAGTGGCGGCACAGTTTGAAGATGTCAAGGACTTTAATTTTCAATTGTATTGTGTTGAATTAAAGCCAGGATAGCTCAGCTTGTGAGCCGGGATAGCTCAGTTGGTGAGCCGGATAGCTAAGTTGGTTAGAGCGCTGCTAAAATTCTGAATTATTATTGGCCGTAGCAGCAGGATTGCAGGTTCAATACTTCACCTACTAAGCATATGAGTTCCTTGGTAGGAAGGAAACTCATCTCGCTTGGCTCTGCTATTACAATATTTCCTTCTAAAATAGTAAAAAATAATCTAGTCAAGTAAAAATTTTTTTTTGTTTTGTCATAACTTTTTAAAGAACTATTGGCAATTGCATCAAATACATAACATAAAATAAAGATTGGACTGTTAAAATGTGATGTGACATGTTCTCAGATGAAGTTAAATTTAAGGTGTTATAAGCAGAGGTTTCTAAACAGAACCTAACTACCAGCAAGTCTGAGAAAAACCATAGTGAAAAGGTAGTTTCATAAAATAACGCCCAAATATTTTAAGTTTCTTGCCTAAATGAGGCAAAGAATAGAGGCTGTTTTTTAAGTTCTAGAAGCCCATACAAAGTACTAAAACATGTAACTTAATTTATTTTTGTTTATGCATGTTTTTTTTTTTTAAATTAAAACGTTTTCTATTAATAAATGTGTACACTATACAAAACAAAAAATTGGTTACAAATCTTAGGTGATCATTTCAAAACCCTATAATATAAATTTTTTATATAAAGATAATATGAATTTCTTATTATGGCTGCTGTTAGTTGGATTATTACACCTCACATTTACTTAAAATATTGAAGTAAAAATGTGAAATATATTCATAAATAATTTCTATAATATTCATAAATAATTACTATATATACAAGTATAAATATGGACCTTGCTAATGGGACAAAATAAGCTCTAAGTTAACTGGAATCGTTTCAGTATTTGCATTAGCCACAGTATGAAATTATATTCTATATTTCTTTAGATTCTGATGTACAAAGGTGTTTTTAAAACAATAGAATAACCAATACTCCCAAAAAAAGTGCAACCTAAAATTACATTGGACAGTTTGTTTAGGTTTTAGCATAACCCAAAATTTTTTAATATGAGGTTCCTAAGGAAAGTTACAGGATCCAAGATCCAATCTGTTTAAATATCCAGTTTCAAAACACTTTTAGTTTTTAAAACATTTGTTTTTAAAACTAGATCCTACAGCAGTTGAAGGGTACTCCATAGTTCTACTTAATTCCTAGTCAAGTTTTTTCACTGGTTTTCAGATTATTTTTATTTTGTATATGCCTCTTAAACATATCTAGCAACATTTCAAACTTCAAAAAATGTCATTTTTTAGCTTTTAGTTGTCCTTTTTTTATAATTAATTGTAGGTAAATAACTGGGGTTTATTACTAGTACTTATTATTATTAGTTACTTTATTTAACCCTTCTTGAGGGTTAAATTAATAAACCATTAAAAGTTGATATATTATCAAAGTCCTGCCAATGAAAGGATAAGATTAGACTAAAACAGATTTTTTTTTAAATAGAATTTTAAAAATGAGAGCTATAATCTTATATAAGAAGTAAAATAAATTCAGAAAAAAATGTTATAATAAAAAGTTATTTTGCAAAAATGTTCAACAACATATCAAAGCGTCTTTGTTTGACAGCACTTGCTATCAATTTTAAATAGTTTTTTAGAAACTACCTGGTGGGAAGTCAGCTAGCAAATAGCTAGCTATAATTGTAAAAAGAAAATTGTGAAAACATGGCTATGAAAAATGGCCACGAGGGTTACTAACTTTTTTAAGTTAGTGAAAAAGCTATCTATATTTGTAAAGATAACAACAGCGATTTGGCTACAAGGACAATAATAATACAAGCTTAATAAACTAACAACCCACTGGCTATTGTAGCTACCATTATATCGTAATAAAATCGCTGCCTAAAATTTTTTGATATATAGCTATAGATTTGTAGATATTTTGTAGCTAGCTACAAAGCTGCAGTATATAGCTAGCAACACATTGCTACAAAATTGCTATGTTTAAAGGTAAATTATTCTCATAATTATAATCAAAACTAAAAATTGAACTTTTAAAGATATTAAAGACATTAGGAAAAAATAAAATAAGAAAAAAAGCATGTAAACTGTTTTTATTATCACACATCAATATCAATATTAATGAGAAAATAAAATGTGTTAAAAAGTTATGCATTATATTGCTTATTGAAAGTAAACCAATTATTTAAATCTAAATACTAAATAGAAAGAATTTGATGCAAGATTATAGAAAATCAGCAGACTTAGGGATATTGATAGAGTATGAATCATTTCTAATAAACTAATTATGAAGCAAACCAGAAAGTTATATATATATTTATATTTATTATATATATATATATATATATATATATATATATATATATATATATATACATATATATATATATATATATATATATATATATATATATATATATATATATATATATATATATATATATATATATATATATATATATATATATATATTTAATTTTCAAATTTTAACTTTTGTTGTTTTATTAGTTTTATTATTTTACTTGTCATTTTGGTGAAATGTAGTCAAATTACCATTTTAATAATTTGTTACATGTAAAAAAATTTTATAAAAAGTAATTATAATTGATTACATATCAGATTACAAAATCTTTTTTCAAATGACTTTTGAATAAACTAAAAAAAAACACCCTGTTAAACTCTTAATATCATTCAACAAACAAGAAAAAAGAATTTATTTGTACCATATTTTTCTAGAAGTTGAACACAATCGCCTTTGTTATACCTTAATGCTATATGTCTTGCTGTTTCTTCAAAAATATTTGCTTGATAAATGTTAATAACATTTATATCACACAAGTATTTTATCACTTCAGTATGACCCCAACAAGCACACCAATGTAGCAAAGTATAACCTTTAACAATCAATAAAAAAAAACTATATATATATATATATATATATATATATATATATATATATATATATATATATATATATATATATATATATATATATATATATATATATATATATATGTATATATATATATATATATATATATATATATATATATTAAATATATTATATATTTTATTACAACTATTTTGGGGTAGTACTGCCCCCCCCCCTAATATAATTTTTGTTCCTACGGCCCTGTATATATATATGTATATATATACACTGGTGGCCAAAAGTGTGTATCCATCAACAAAAAATATTTTTAAAAAATATTCAAAACCAATTTTTTTAATTTTTGAACCTTTTTTATTTTTTATTTTTTGGTTTTTAAGGATAACAATAATATAATTCAAAAAATATGCAAAATAATATAAATGAGATTTAGTTTATTTTAATGCTGCAATAGGTGATTTAGAACCAACAAAACGTGGTGCAATATATGCACTCTGTAAAGTAGGTTTTAGTCAATATCAAATAGCTGAAAAAGTTGATGTATGTAAGCGAACTGTTCAAATAAATATTAAAAAAGGAAAAGATGGCTATTTAGAGACTTTCAAAAGATCCGGTCGACCAAAAATTATTAACAAAAGAGGTGAAAATTTGATAAAAAGAATGGTGATAAATAATCCAAGAATCTCTTCAAAGGAAATATTTAAACTATTAAAACTATTGAAAATATTTTTGCAACTTAATTTACACACATTTATGTCAATGTTTACATAAAATAAAGGTTTTATGATAAAATGTTTAAAAATTCGTTTTTTTTGGGGTGGGTACACACTTTTAGCCACCAGTGTGTGAATATATATATATATATATATATATATATATATATATATATATATATATATATATATATATATATATATATATATATATATATATATATATATATATATATATATTTATATATATATATATATTAGGTACGCGCATATCGTCATTTATGGAACCGATTTTTGTGCTAAGATTTTGTGACTCGTTTTTTTCACTTTTTTTTAGGCAGCGGGGGGTAGACGTAGTTTTGTGGAGTTTCTTTTTAGAAACATATATACACATAGATACTTTTTGGAAAGAAGAGAAGCTGATCTTTATTTTTTTAAAACTTTTATGCATGGTTACTAAACTATTTAACGGATTATTTTGCTCCGGAATATTTGGTTGATGTTTTCACATGAATTTGTAGTCGAAGGCATGAAGTTTCCGCTTTTTTGATTGTTCAGCCACCTTTATACATGTATTTTCTATTTATGTCCCAAATTTCAACGAAAAATAATAGGGAGTAGATATGTAACGAGGTGCTTTTTTAAATATACTGCTTTTTTGAAGTAGGGTTAGACAAACGTTTTTAGTGGTGTTTTTTTTTAGAAACATATATAAACAAAAAAAATATTTGGAAAGAAGAAAGGTTAGGCTTGATTTTTATAGTATTTTTATGTATAACCACTAAACTTTTTTATGGTTAGTTTTGCTATAAACTTTCATGAAAATTTTGTTGATGTTCTCACATTAAGTTGTTATCGAAGGAATGAAGTTTCCACTTTTTTTGTTATTCAGGCACTTTTTTGCATGCATTTTCTTTGTACATGCCAAATTTCAGCCAAAAATATTAGGGAGCAAATAGTATAAGAAGTGTAGGACTTTTGGTACCTAAATTCGGTTTTTTTTGTTTTTGTTTTATCGGTAAGAGAAATACGAGGAGGATAGTGGGTGGCAAATGGTAAACAAAAAATTTTTTACTGCATTGTATTATTTAATTTTTAACATTAGATTATTTTAATAAATAAAAAATGGCAAAAGTCATAACAAAGAAGACTTCAAAAAGTAAGTTAATTTGTTTTTCATGATAATAATATCTTTTTTAAAAAACAAAACAATAATGATAAGTTTAAAAACCTTAATTTTTGTTTACATCAGCATGGTGTAAACAAAGATTAAGGTTTTTAAACTTATCATTATTGTTTTGTTTTTTAAAAAAGTTATAAGTTTAAAAACCTTAATCTTTGTTTACATCATGTAAATAAAGATTAAGGTTTTTAAACTTATCATTATTGTTTTGTTTTTTAAAAAAGTTATAAGTTTAAAAACTTTAATCTTTGTTTACATATCATCATGATATGTAAACAAAGATTAAGGTTTTTAAACTTAAAGTATAAGTTTAAAAACCTTAATCTTTGGTATAAGTTATACCAATGATAGTATATATTAAAAAAGATTAGGATTTAAGATTAAACCGTTACTTTAGAATATTTTATTAACTAATAGTATCAGATGCCAATGTTGTTAATACACCATATATATAAAAATATACAAATGACATTATTATACTTTAAAGTAAAACTTTATTGGCTTAAGCCAATACAGTTTTTGACAAAATATTTTTAGAATAATATTATTATTGATATTTTTAGAATAACATTATTTTTTTAGAATAATATTATGATTTTATTGATATTTTCAGAATAATATTACTATTGATATTTTAAAATATTATTATTATTGATATTTTTATATGAATAAGCTTATTATTAATAAGCTTATTTTTGTAAAATTATAAAGATACTTTTACAATAATAAGTTTATTCTTATAAAAGTATCTTGTTAGTGTTTTTCTAATATACAGTAATATAATTTTAAAATACAGTAATATAATTTATGTTTTTTATTATTTTTTTTTTATTGCTTTTTTTTTGGTTACAAAGGTTGTTGTACGTAAAGCAGAACTGATTTGATAACTGTTATTTTTATTGACTGTTGACAATTTCAAGATGTTTTTTTTTTGATTATATAACTTTTTTGTTATCTTTAGGCCAATTTGCACAGACTACAGCTGGTAAGTTATTATAGCATAACTTTAATCAACTAATAAAGAAATATAAATAAATATGTATTTCTTACTTATTTATTTATTACTTGTCGTGTATGGATTTCCCATTTGCTGCAATATTAATTTTTTAATTTTAGTATCTACCTCATGTACTACACCTGGTAAGTTACATAACTCTTAATTTTTAATTTGCAAACTTTACAATATGTTAAACTTTAGTTCCTTAGTCAGCTGCTGCAACTAGTAATTTAAAAAAATAATAAATTTAATATGTGTATGCATTTTTCATTATTTGCAATATTGATTTTTTGTTACAACTTTCTAATTTTAGTATCTACCTCTTGTGCTACACCTGGTAAGTTAAACAACTATTAGTTTTTAATGTGCAAACTTTATAATATGTTTAACTTTAGTTCCTTAGTCATCTGCTGCAACTAGTAATTTAATAAACTATTACATTTAATATGTATATACATTTCTTGTTATTTGCAATATTGATTTTTTGTTACAACTTTGTAATTTTAGTATCTACCTCTTGTGCTACACCGGGTAAGTTAAACAACTATTAGTTTTTAATGTGCAAATTTTGACTTCCTTCATTTAAACTCAATGTGTACATCAATAATATATGTTGAATAGTAATAAAATATGTGCAACTTACGCCCTCCCCTAAAGTTAGTGTGTACATCACTAATGTATATTGTATAGTAAAAAAACATATTTTTACTTTTTAACAAAATATTTAATTACTGTAATAAAGATTAAATTATTTATTAGAATGTATGATTATTGTATTAGGGTGTTATAACATCATAACCACATCTACGACCAACTCTA